AGTGACCATGTGGTCATTGATGTGTTAATATCGGTGACGACAGTGATAGTAACAAAAGCCACCACCACCCCCTCACAGTCCTGACGGGGGGCGGGGTGGCGGGGGGCGAGCAGTTGTGTCCGACAGACGAGCAGTGAGGCCCGGGGGGTGAGAACCCAGAGGTGAGGGGTCAGGTGTGTCTGGGTCCCAGGTCCGGACCCTCTAGGCTGGGGCTGGGGACGTGCCGCCTGCAGGCCACCTGAGGCCTGAGAATCACTGGCTCTGGCCCTGCCGGGGCCTCAGGGTGAGTTCACGAGGGGTTTGACCAGATGGAGCCACTCTTTGTCCCCTTCAGTGCGGCCACGAAGTTTCAATCGCACTGCACGTGGTATTTTGTGGAAGAGCCACACTCAAGGGGCCAGTTTGCTGACCACTGGGATAGAGCGTCAGCCTTCAGATAGAAGGGTCCCGGGTTCGATTCCGGTCAAGGGCACATGCTCAGGTTTCAGGCTCGATCCTCAGTGTGGGGCGTGCAGGAGGCAGCCGGTCCATGATTCTGTCTCATCATTGATGTTTCTCTCTCTCCCTCTCCCTTCCTCTTGAAATCAATAAAAATGTATATTTTAAAAAAATTCCAAATGGCCCTTGGCAGAATGAAGGGTCCCCCCCAACCGCAGCCCAGAGCTTAGGGGAGACCCCCCATGCGTCCCTCGTAGACCAGGGCCTGTGAGGAAGGCGGACGAAGGGCTAGTTGCACTCTGCACGGCCCACTGCAGCCCGGCTGCCCGGCACGCAGTCCATGCCCACCGCACGGTGCAGCCTGACCCCCACAGAAACCACCACGACCCCCCGCATCCCCCGGATCACGGCTGAGCCCCAGCGGGTGGCGGGGGCGGCGTCAAGGGCGACCACCTACCCAGGCTCCTCCTTTCCCGGGCTATGGTGCCTGCAGCTGGATGGGGCCCAGGACCACGTCCACCTTCTCCTGGTAGGAGCCCAGGTCCCGCTTGTGCCTGGGCTGGCAGCCGCCGCGGCAGCGGGAGGCGGGGTCGTGGGCCCTGCACACGAGCACCTTGCAGTGCAGGTACACGGCGGGGAGGCGGCGCAGGAAGTGGAAGGAGCGGAACTTGAAGCGGGCGAGGCCGGGTGCCGGGGCGGGGAGGGCCTGGTAGGTGTCGTCCCTCACGCACCTGCACGGAGAGAGCAGAGCGGCACCATCAGTGCCAGGGCCTCGGCCGCCCTGACCGGGATCCACTGGGCATGGGACCCATGCCCCTTGCCGCACCCCCTCAACTCCTCCACCCCTGCCTTCCTGCCCCCCTCTCCCGCACGTCTGCCCTGGAGCGTGGTTGGAACCAGGACAGTGAGAACGTCCATTCTCAGCTGATTTGGGGCGACATTGGGCGCCCTTGGTCACGCCCACTGAGGACCCGCCCTCCCCGCTGCGCATCCTCTCTGCCCAACCCCACCTGCGCTCTCACTCATCCCCCAGCAGCCCCTGATGTGGGCGTCCCCCTGCTCACTTGCTGGGTGGAGACATGGGCTCAGGGAAGGGGCATCTGGATGTGGGCGTCCCCCTGCTCACTTGCTGGGTGGAAACACAAGCTCAGGGAAGGGGCATCTGCCATCTGGCATCTCATCTCCATCTGCACCCAAATGAAAGCTTTCCCACCACACCCACGTCCTTGACGCCAGGGCTTGCCCGGAGCTCCTCACTGGGCCTCATCCCATTGACAGGCCACTGCTTGGTGGCCACCGGGCAGCCATTCCGCGCGTCAGGCGCCCCCTCCATGGGCGTTAACGAGAGGGGCACCCAGACGGGCTCAGCTGAGCTCCCAGACCCAAGGCCCTGGGTCGCTTGGTGGGACACGCTTACCCGCTCCGGATGAGGTCATAGGTCACAGAGGGCACGTCCTCGGAGGACGGCGACGCCACGCAGGTGTCCACGAACAGGGCCATGGAGGCGTCGGCCCGGCGGATCTCGGCCTGAACGTACAGGTCCTGGTTCAAGCGCACGTAGTAGGGGTGCGTGGTCACGGGGTATGCGAACGCGGAGGACGTGTAGAAGGACATGTTGACGGCGAAGTTGCCGTACTGCACTTCCTCGACCTCGGCATTGTCGTTGGCCACGTACATGAGGTCCACCCAGGTGTCCCGCAGCATCCGGCAGCTCACGTGGAGGTGCAGGCTCGGCCGCCTCTGGATGAGGCCACCCGTGACGGGGACGGCTGCTTGGAGGGTGTTGGAGTAGGTGATGGTGTCATTATCCAGCTGGAGGGGGCAGGAGAGGGGGTCAGGCACAGGGCCCTGTGAGGGGATCTCGCTGCTGGTCTTGTTAGAGTCAGAAGTGACTCAACGCGCTTCACAACCCTCCCAGGCCAGGCCGGCATGGCTTCAGGCCCCACGAAGCTCTGGCGGCGGGCGTGGCTGTGACGATGGACGTGCTGGGCAGCTTGCCAGGCGTCCTCCGCCTGGACGGTGGGGAGACCGCCTGCCACCGCCTCCCTGTGGTTGGAAGTGAGAGGGACACGGATGCCTTCACCGCAATCATGTTCCGCTTCTACAGACACAATCCGTCCCCTGGGCCCCAGAATCCAGGGAAAGAAGCGGGCTCGACGAGGGCGCGGGAAGGCCGCTCACCTGCTGGGTGGTGCCGCAGCCTGCATAGGGGATGGTGAAGGTCACCTGGCTCGCCGTGACCTGGGCCTTACACTGCTGCACGTCGTGCCAGTGGGGGATGACCAGGTCGCCGGCCGAGTAGCCCAGGGACTGCAGGTAGCTCCTGCTTACGTTGGCCTGCATCCGGTCCGGCAGGCAGAGCAGCTCTGGGGGCCGAGGGTGGCTGGGTCAGTGTGCGCCCCAAACCTACTGGGGCTCCCCCCACACCTGCCCCGTGCACACGATCAAGGGGCTGCCTGCATCCGGTCCGGCAGGCAGAGCAGCTCTGAGGGCCGAGGGCAGCCGGGTCATGCGCGCCCCAAACCCACCGGGGGCTCCCCCCACCCCTGCCCCGTGCACACGATCGAGGGGCTGACAAAGGTGCTCCACATTAGGGTATTTTCACACAGCTCCCCCTCCCCCAGGTGCCCTATGCGCACGGATAAAGAAATGGAGGCAGGCCCTGGCTGGTGTAGCCAAGGGGGTAGAGCATCAGCCCATGGACTGAGAGTTACAAAGGTGGTCCACATTAGGGTATTTTCACACACCCTCCCCTCCCCCAGGTGCCCTAAGCACAGAGATGGAGAAATGGAGGCACGCCCTGGCCGGTGTTGCCCAGAGGGTAGAGCATCAGCCCATGGACTGAGAATCATGGGTTTGAATCCAGTCTAGGGCAAGTTTCTCAGTGGCAGGCTTGATCCCCGGCCTCATGGAGGCAACCAATCCATGTGTCTCCCTCCCATGGATGCTTCTCTCCCTCTGTCTCTCACCTTCCCTTCC